TAACAGAAAAGATTCCATCCAATTCTCCATGCATGACTCCATATGTAACTACATTAATAAATTAATATAGCTTCATTACTTTTGAAATGAAAAGGGTACAAGGGATTTTTGACTCACCCTCTATTAGGGACTCAATCTGATATATTTTTGTGTTTTGTGAAGACTTGTTACACATTGCTATTATAGTAACATTGACATTAAGTAGTATTAATTCATCATTATCATTAGACATTAATGGATAAAGTTTTTCTTGTGCCAAAACAATTGTACCGAAATGCATCATTTTTATATTACCATTAACAAAGAAATGGCTACTGACAAATTCCTGTGAAATTCACCCCTGTAATTCAATTGCCACTGTCGCGCATGCAGGATATTTAATTGCTTGTCTTGTAATTATACTTCTTGATTGTATTGTCCTCGTTTGCATTATCGTCCTCGCAATGTAAATATCCCACGTCTTCATTTTCTTACTTTTGAATAATAATAATATATGTGATCTGAACAATCTATGCCATACACTCATTATTATAATCTCTAATTACGTTTAGTTTTATCTGAGTCAATTGAGTTATCTCAAGTTTGACCTGAGTGAGGAATTTTCTGTTTCATACATTAAAAAATAATAAACACACTCAAATAACCTTGAATAAACAGCAAAAATTTAATAAATGAAATGTTTTCAGACATTTTTAATGCTTTTCTTCCAGTAGAATATGTAATGGAATGACACAATGGTAGTTTGGATAAAAACATTCCAAAAATACAAATTCAAATTTTCATCATCTGAACATTAAGGTAAGGTAAAAAAAAAGTTTGTTATTAAATTTTTGCTGTTTATTCAAGGTTATTTGAGTGTGTTTATTATCTTTGCAAAACAGCTCTGATTCAGCATTAAAAAATAATTCATTTAGGTATTTTTGATAAAAATAAGCTCTTATTACAAGTTGGATGAAGAGTAAATGTTACTGATTAAGTAGCATTGTATTACAAAACTAAGCTTAATTGATAATGGTGTCAGAGAATAGTTCACCCACTGACACAGATACAGTCAATGTATTACGCTTTCTATGCAGATAATTGTGAGGGTCATAAAAGCGAAACTTTTAAGCTGGAAAGTTTTGAAGATAGAATCGGGTCAAGAGGGGTGTTAATGACAGAACCCAGATGGGATGAAAACTTTCTTACGTATTGTAAAACAAACGCAACGCGATGATAAACAGCAGGGGGAATGTCGACAGAGAGAGTGAGCTTTGTCGAGATGTTCGCGAACAAGTGTCGGGTTGAAACAATCAAGAAAAGGGGGGATTTAATTAATTAATGACAAAAGGGACATTTGTTAAGCCCGAACGCGTTAGGGGGTAAATGGCCACATGAACATCTGGTGAACCATTTAAGTTCAAAAATGTCAGAGAGAAGGGCCATAACGGAGTAAAATATGAGCGCAAACTTTAGAAGCCTCATCATCACCTCTCCGACCTTTTCCCGACCTCTGGATTGGTCTTGGGTTTCGCCTAGAAACAAAAGAATGACTAATCGGGGTAAGGGAGAGGGTGAACGAGACCAATCAAAAGGATGATATTCGGGAAAAATCTCATAAAATCCCCGAATCTCAAGGACATGGAGGCCGATTCTCCCCAAGACGAGTGACGAGAAGACTTCAGGTCATCTGTGCACCTACCAGCCACGACCGTCCAAGCTTCTCCGCCTACTCAGAGAAAGAGAGTGTGAATCCGAACACAGGACATCACCCGTTCTCCGTCGAACTCTTCTTCGAAGTCCTGGGGCACCCACCAGCAGCTGATGTCCAATAGTCCTAATTGTTGTTATTGATATTATGTAAGTTAACCTTATGTCAAAAATAAACGGTTTCGTGTAAGACACTTGTCATCTTTGTCTCCTACCGCTACCACCCACATACAATTCTCCCCTAGGTTTTCCTGATGCGCAATTAATGTATTGCCCCTAGAAGTCGGCGATCTTACATAATAAATAATTATGAATTTTTCCTATATTTTACACTTACTCGGGGGGCGTGTCTAGCCTGCGGAGGTGTTGGTGACTTTTTTGCTGAGCTGTTGTGGTGATGTTAGACATGGAATTTTTACAACAGAATATTAAGTGTAAAACTGAATTAAGTAGTTCAAATGTTGCATTAACTAGAATAATAATTTTTATGTTAATAATGATTGCCGGAATTGAGTTAAATCCCGGACCTTTTCCTCGATCTCCTCCAATATCAAGTCAAGCAGTTATGCAAAAAAGGGGACGAGGGAGACCACGTAAAGAGCATACAAGAGATATAGAAGAAAATACTCAGACAAGCGAAATGTCAGGAGAGGAATACTTATTTGAGGAACATAATAAATAATTACAGTTATCTAATTTGAAAATTAATATTACTTACAGATAAATATTGTTATATTATGACATATATTAAAATTAACTCAACTAATTTCATAATATAAGAAAAATGTTTTGTAGAATCAATAATTGGGAACCCAATTATGATGTATAAATTAATCCTATATAAATTAAGATGCTTTAATATATAAAATTTATGAATAGGAAAAGTAATATATCAAATATTGAAACATTTTTTCTTTGTTTTCTAATCAATTTACATTCGGTAAAATCAGTTTAATTCAATTAACTACATTAATCATTCTCACTACAGGATATCTTAAAAATAAACTAATAAATTTAATATAAAGACAGGTTGTTACATTATCATCTTACATCAAGATTAATAATTAAGAATTTTGGAATTGGACTTTGTACAGAGATTATTATATTTACTGTATTATAATTACTGTATTTGTGGTTATTATTGGACAACATGTTTGTTTGGTATTTTCTCTTTTTTTTTTTACTTTGTTTCTCATACAAAGGGTATAAAAGTACTTTGTACTACATATATAAAATAAATAAATAATAATTCAGTTATTATTAAAAATAATCAAGAATTTAATTAAATCTAATTTACTTTTAAAAAATGTTGAAAAAAATTGACCTAGAATGAAATTCAATATTTGACTAATTTTATTCAGTATCATTTGTTCCATTGTTTTTCAATAAAACAATAATAATTTACTCAAGCATTTAGTAGAGCTGATTTTACATATATGGGACACAGCCTGTATAACTGTATACGGTACATAAATTACACATCTTTTCCATATGCAGTGGTACTCCATACTTTGAACAACTGTAACTTCAAATGTTCTAGAATTCACATGCTAAATTAGACAGAAATTAACTGTGGAGTTTGAACGATGCTTCTAAGTTTGAAATACGTGTGCAATAAAAAAAAAATGCACTTGCTGCATAAATGCTATCTGTTGTGCCCAAGTCATTTCTTGCTCTTGCTTTACACTTGTGTGTTTTCAATGCTTTTTTGCTTTATTTTTGGTGTGTTTTGTTATATATATTGTGTTATTCATCAAGTTTTAACAATTTCTTCCTGTAACTTTTCTTCGTTGACAATTTTTGGGTGTCCCATATGTTTTGTATCCTTTAGTTCAAAATTTCCTGAATGGAAATTTTTAAACCATATTTGACAGATTTAAAGAGTATGCACAGCATTATATCTTTTCCAAAATTCGTAATGCATAATATTTATGATACACTTTTTATCTGGAGACATTTCAACTTGATTCTATTCAAACGAAATGTGAAGTAAAACGTTTAAAATACACTTCTAAACAAAAAATACAATCTCACATTAGTAGCAATAATGTGTTAAATTTCACAACTATTGTAATTAAATCATACACCTACGTTAAGTAACAACAGCTGTTAAAAGTATGCAAAATCTTTCTGTTCAACCCAATATAACCTTTACTTTATTAACCTTGGTATCTAAGAAGTGTATGGAAGCAACAAAGTCTAAGAGAAAGGTTGTAAAATTGACAATTAAGATGAAAATAAACCTATAATGAAACCTGAAAGTAATACATCTGGAGGTCAGGTTTAAGATGACAAAGTCAACAGACCAGTAAACGCAATTTTCATTTTAATATACAGCATTTATATATTTTATTTATTGTTTTCATGCTTTAACTTATTATTTAGGGCATTTAATTGTGTTAATGTTATCTTAGATTATGTGTATTTGCTGTTTAAGTTTATCAAAATGGGTATTGTTTAGGGTCTGGAAATGGATTAATTCACTTTCCATTATTTCTAATGGGGAAAATTGATTCAGAGTTCAAACCACCATCTGGAACAAATTAAATTTGAAGTATGAAACACATTGTGTATATATATAAAGAAAACTAACAGAAATTATTAGAAAATGCAACTTCCTGTATTAGTTTTTTCCTTGAAATCTATTACAGCAGTTAAAACAAAATTATTATCCTTAATATTTTGCAGTAAGGTTTTGCTTAAGCTTTAAACAAATTATATTTTAGCAGTGGTGTGCGGTGACATTTGATGATAGGGAAGCTGTGCTGGCCCTGGATTGAAAGTGTTATATGATATTTTGGTGTGTAGCATCCACGAGCTAAACTGCGTGAAGTTGGTACTCTGTAAAGCGCATGTACAAATAATTGTATAATATAGCTGCTTTACACCATTCAAATATTTTCGCTGTGGAAGCTATCCCGTATTCGACAATACAGCACTTCCATTGGGAATATGCATATACAAATTTATATTTGAATATCAATAGAAATCTTATCATTGTTTTTCACATGTAGTATTGAAATTTGTAATAAGATATATAATGCGGTTATAATAAAATATTAACTTTAATTAATTCAAAGTACATTAAAATATGAACATAATCACATAATATGTATTTATATTTTAGAAAATACAAGGGAAGCGGCACTTCCACAGCTTCCATGGACGGCACACCACTGTATTTTAGTTAATCTTTTTAAAATATTATTATTAAAAATTATAATAATATAGAAATAAAAAGACAAAGAATTATAATAATATTAAAATCCACATATTTTACTGGTAAATTATTTTATAATTAATAAACTTACTGGTATCATCCAATTAGCTAAATCTCCAAATTGTGACACTTGCATTGCACCTAACATAGTCAGATCAATATGACCCCTGAAAGGATATGAAATTTGATTACTTTTTACATTTAAATTTAAAGAAAAATATAATTTTTCATAACCAAATGGTATACCCTCTAATCATTCCAAAAGATTCGTCACTAGAAAAAAATGCAGCACCAGGTACAGCTGTTACAGTTTCTTTTCCCGCATTAATCAGATCTGCATCTTGTTCACCTTCCAAAGGATATGGCCCCTAATAAAAATACAGTATATCCATTTTTCATTATTCAAAAAGTTTAATTAAAATACCTACTGTATAACAAGTTTTTATTAGTGTATTATTTTACTTATTTCATTTTCAATTAAATAAAAGATAATATTATATGGGTTTGAAATTTCTCAGACAGTTTGTAAGAAAAAGGAAAAGAATAATGTAATTTTAGCAGTTAAAAAAACTCTTAAAATAACTAAATGATATGTGCTACTTTAAGTCTTTAATTGTCTTTAAAGTACTTTAATTGAAATAGTAACCATTTAATTAACGCTTACAATAATTTGTTAATTTTAAAAGTGAGGTAAGTCCGTTTGGGTATCAAAAAATCTTTTATTTCTTCAGCCAACGTCGATAAACACTATTGTATAATAACAAGATACATAAAAGTTGTCTTATCAATTTTTTAAAATCTATTGAAATGCAAAACCTTAAATATTTTGAAACAAGGAAAAAATGGACTTGCTCCACTTTCAAAATAAACTCATGTAGTCTTGAAAAAATGCATTTTAAATGTTAAAAAAAGTTTAAATTAATCACTTTTTACTAGCAAATCTGATTTGAATTGATGTGTCTTGAGCAATATAGCCAAAAACATCTATTATTGATACAAAGCTCGTCGCGTGATCCTCTCGCATTGACTTCTCGTTGTTGTTTTAGACGTAATATGTAAAATACCAGTTTTTGACAAGCAAAATGTTAAAAACAAAATGCAACTTACAATCAAGTTATATAAAAATCACTATAGGTAACTCTTTCAGACTCTTTTACTGTACAGTACATAACACTTTGAATATGGTGTACCAATAAAAGTATCAGACTTTTGTACATTTTCAGTCTACAAACAAATTTCAAGCTACTATGCAACATTGCTTTCTGCCAGTTTTGGTCTCGGTAACAGCAAAATCATTTGTAAAAATGAATTGCTTGTTTTCTGTTGTGAATATATTGTAATGCATAAAGAATGGAACATAAAAAAATTGTTTGACATACAATTGTACAAAAGTTTTTTTGCCCAGTGAAGATGGTAATGCACCATTGAAAGTACTTGCTAACATATTTTATCTTTATTAAAAGTCTTTAATAATGAAAGACAGATGTTTTTCTATACTACTTATATATTTTGGCAACAAGTGTGCATTTAATTTACGGCACTTTTATTTGCATACCACAGAATGTCCTTTCTCAGTATTTTCTTCTCTCATCTTTTCCAAATTCAAGAATCTAAGAGTGATAAAAGTTTTTACATAAATCAAAACAAATAAGAACTATTTTAGTAAATTTTTAAATTATTTCAAAGACGCTATCAGAAAACCGATCCTACCCATATGTGGGAAAAATAGGTACTGCATAAAGAAACTAATAATAAAACAATGTCTGTACACAATGGAATGAAAATAGATTTAAAACAGAACACAGAATGATTATAATCAATTTTTCAAAATTATAATTTATAAAAACTTTTGAATTGTCTAATGAACTGCTGATGCACATACACATCATTCGTTTTTAAATCTATTTGTAGAATAAAGTAGATAACACAGATACGGTGGATAAAATTACAGTGGAAATTCGATTATCCAAACTTGATAAGGGTCAGGAGTCTTCTGGATAAACGAAATTTCAGATAATCCAGAAACTCATTTTTGTGATTTGGGTACAATGTCAAGCATTGCATTTAAAGTTTCACAAACAATAAATGCTGTATTTGAAGGTAAATTAATTTACAGGTAGACCTCCTACAACGCGGTATCTTTACAACGCATTTTCGCTCCAATGCGGTTGGAAAAATGCGGAAATTTTCTTACAACGCGGTACTTTTACAATGCGGTTTATGGTATTGTAAGGAACCAAGTCCAAACGTTATTTTTATTTACTTTTATTTTGCTTATTATTCTATTTTTGTTTGGGGCTTATGTTTTGTTAGGACGAAGTTTCCTCACCATTCACCTTAGTAACTTAAAAATAGAAGAAAAACCAACTCACCAACGAAAGAAAAGCGCCGTAGAAAACTCGCGCACACTTGCGCTTCCCAAGTGGAAAAAAGTAAGTCCGCACTGAGAAAAAGGGGGGGGAAGACCCCACAACCCAGTTAGGAATCGCTAAACCTTAAAAGAATAAAGCATCCCGATAATTGTTAAAAAGAATAATGTAAAAGGTTAGCGAAGTATTGTCGGAAAACAATCTGCCAGATAAACAAGAAAAATTTAATGTTACAGATAAGTATGTAAATGAGGAGAGTGAGCTCATTCAGAATTGTGACGTCACCTCACACTATAAAGCCTCTAA